TGCCCTTGGATACTCCAAAAATCATGTCTGCTCGCTCTATCGTCAAATACAACGCAGGAACTCTACTGTTCTTCATGACATAGGTCTAGACACATACTAACTAACAATTGTCCTCTCAGACGCAGTAACTCCCAGAAGGCTTGGTCACAAGGAAACCCAATCACTCAGCGATCTTCATATGCGCAGCAAAACGGCAGCATGCCCCAAAAGCAGCCAGCCTCGTCTAGAAATCCTTCCAAAGAATCTAACACGCCTGATAACCATGCACATGATCGCCTTGTGTTCTTGCTCACCAGCTTTATCGTAAGCTTCATCCAGCCACGATGGTCGTTGTAATTACAGCTCAGAAGCTAACAACTATTAGGGGCTAACTGCGACTGTCACAAGTAAAACTGGAGAGAAATACACCGGAGTCTTTTCGTCTGCATCTCTAGAGCCCAACGAATCTTCGTTCCTTCTGAAGATGGTCCAACGACCTAACAAGCAGGAACAGCACAGAGCGAATGGAGTGAGCGAGGCTTCTAGCCCATTCATGGGATCTGCACCGGATCACAGCATGTCTTTTGATGTCAAAGATATAGTCGACATCTCAGTGTCCGATGTTTCCACCACTGACGTTCTTGCCAAGGCTCCGAACGGTACGTTTCTAGCCCCCGCGTCGTCTTCATATACTGACAACTTCTCAGGTGCCTCCGTAGGCTTTAAGACTGATACTGACATCTCCGGCAACCTCGCAATTCGTGAGCGGACCTTGAAGCGCTGGGAGCCAGCAGCAGACACAGATGTGGATTTGTCCCTAGACGGCGCAAATGCCTCGTCCGGATGGGATCAATTCGAAGCGAACGCAAGACTTTTTGGCGCTACTAGTAGCTACGACGAGAATATTTACACGACCAGGATTGATCGCTCGGATCCTGCTTATAAGCTGAAGGAAGCAGAGGCTGCTCGGATCGCCCGCGAGATTGAAGGCACAAATACGGACAATGTCCATGTCCGTGAAGAGCGAGGTTTGGCGTCTGCGGATGACGGGGATGAAGAAGAGAAATACAGCGGTGTGCGCCGTGATGAAAAGGATTTCCCGCCCCTTATCTCTGGACAGCCAAACAAGTATACCCCACCAGCCAGGAGGCAGAATGCCGCTCAATCCGCTGCTCTCCCCGCATCTGCAGCCCCTGCCCGGTCGACCCCCACCGTTCCGAAGGATGCTGCCACTGCGACGCCGAAGGAGACTGCTCCGGTCCAGGCCCAATCTACGCCATCCAGGGTCGCTCCAGCTCCCGCTCCCGTTGTTGAGGCGGAAAAGAAACCCGCGGCATCCAAACCTCAACCGGGCCCTGCCCTGCCCGCTGCAAGTAATGCTACTGCCAACGTTGAAGTTGAGGTGTTGGATTCTTTCCGTCGATTCGCCGATAATGAAAAAGCGAAGATGCAGGAACGTCGCCGTAACCAAGCCTCATACGACCGCACCATTAAACTCAACGAATTGATGAAGTTCTCTAAAAACTTCAAACTAGCTACCCCTGTTCCCAAAGACCTAGTGCCGATTCTTGCCAAAGATCCCCACAAACAGGAAGAGATCATCCAGCGAGCCCAGCAACATGCCGAGGAGAAAACAGCAACGAAAGCATCCCCAGAATCCACAGAACCGAAGCCAGTGACCCGCGCTCCTGCGGCTACTACCGCTCCCCCTCTGGCCCAGACCGACCGTTCCAACATCTCGCGCGGTCGCCAAATGTTCCCCCCAACCGGCCCCAATGGTGCCCCCGCGGGGCGACTACCCCAGCAGAACATGCATGCGGGCCGTCAAGCCACAGGAATGCTTGGCCACCGTCTAGCTGACAATCTGCAGCAGAGGAAGGGAGTTGCAACGGGAGCGATTCCTGCACCCTTGCCCATCAACGAGGTTCGCAGCCCGCCAAGTGGCCCTGCTGGTGATCACCCTACCGTCACCAGCCCGACCAAGGCGCAGACTCCGACTTCAGCGGTCTCAAGTAAATTCAATGTGAGAGCTATGGAGTTCAAGCCGAACCCTGCAGCGAGCACGTTCACACCCGGCACCTCAAACATCTCATCTTCATTTGCTCGTGGACGCTCTGTCTCGCGGGCCACTAGCCCGTCCGCTTTCTTTGGTGCAAAGAAGCCACGCCCAATCTCAGAGCGACCCTCTCTTAACGAACAGTTCAATCCTATCAAGCGCATGAAGAAGGAAAGCACAGAAAAGAGTGACAAAGACTACACGTTCAATGGTGGCATACCCCCTGCCTATAAAACACTGCCCACCTGGGATGTGCCTGCCGGCAACGAAGAGAAGACATATCTACAGATGTTCAAGCCCCCTGCCTCTGTGCCGGCTATCTCCCCCCAGAACCGTTCTGCGTCAAACTCGTCGATTCCACATCAACCACAGATGCCCTTCCAGTATCCGCAGTCCTCCCAGGGTATGCCCCCGACAACTGGCCCTCCTCACGGCCCTCATCTTCATCCCCAGCAGCATCATGGTTCGGGTCCACCCCATTTCGATGATCCCCATCGTATGCAGTTGTCAGCGTCAACATCTCAAATATTCCCTTCTCCTCGTCTCCAGCATGGTTATCCTTCTCCTATGGCACCCCATGCTCAATTGGCGTTCGGACAGCCTATGCCACAGTTCTACGTCAACCAGGGCGGCCCGCAACCCGCTCATATGAGACACTATCCTGGCACTCCTCAATTCGTGAACCCACAATCTGGCATGGGTGCACCCATGATGATTCAGCAACCGTCCAGTGGGCCTTACATGGGCGTTCCTCAAGGTGTGGCTCCCTACACACCTCAGATGCAGATGTATTCGCCCAATCCTGGCCATGCTTATCCTCAACATGCACCACCTCCCCAGCCCCATAGTGGTTATCCTAGCCCTAGCCGCGGTGCCCCAATGATGATGCACCAGAATTCTCAACAGGGCCAGCCCCCACAGCCCGTCATGTTTATGTCTCCCGGACAGCATGGACAGCCAGTGCACCATTCCCAGCAGCCAGGACACAGTATGTAATCGCCCAGCACGCTCTTCCAGTCACAGGCATGCTAACATTCGGCTGGCAGTGCCTCCGGTTCGAGGAAATTATCCCCAGCAGCAGCAAACCCATTTCCAGTCTAGTCCTCACCAAGTGCATCATTACCCTCCTCACCAACACCGAACCCCCAGTAACGGCTATAATCAGATGCCTCAAGGTCCACCTCAGGTGCCTGCTCAGCCTCCACAGGCTGCCTCGTCTGGTGCTCAACCCCAGGAAGCTGCAGACGAAGTGAAATGAATCTCTTCTTGATTTTGCAAGACCCTGAATCGCAGGCTTGGCAACCTATCGGGAGGGCTGTGTTGACCCTCGATGGGCATTACTCGACTCCACTTAGCCGTGAACAAGATCAACTCACAGTTGGCGACTCCACCTCCGTGCCGACCCACACCTCAGTGTTTCTCGAATCTATCAGTACCATGTTACCTTCGCGCCTAGCTCTTCGCTTATTGAAGACGCATATAGTTCCAGGCGAGCGGATTGCTATTACATTTTGGTGCGTTCATCTTTGGTCCTGGATCTCCGTGTGCGGCCCAGACTAATTGCAGTAGACGACTCGTCAGTCTTATATTGAGTCCCTCGGCCGCGCCAGGCTCGAGTGCCCGAGAGATTTGCCAGAGAATCGGCTACAGGGTGAACGATAGCGGTTCCCTCGGGATGGTGTGGGGAGAGCCATGAGCGTGGGGCAGACCGTGGCCATCCTACACGGACCTACACGTAGGTTGTTGGAAGTGATCTTGGTTCCGACCATACCATTTATGAGGAACTGTTCAAGTCATTGCTTAATGGCAATGGTGTTCTGGGGGGTCTACTTCGTTTTCTCATTTTTGTCTGCTTATTAGGTTTCAGTTACCATTTTTTCGCGCGAGGGATGGAAGATTGGACAAGTGCATGTGGAAGAATGCGGTGGCATGAAGGATGATTTGTCAGTGGAAGCTATTGATGATGTAGTTCGGCACGAGCATGATGGAAGGGGGCTGAGGTCATAACGGGGAAGAGGTTTGCATGGAAGACACGGATATGAAGGAAGAGAGGGAGAAATCTGAGGGGTGATTTGCTATTAACTTCAAAAACAATGGAACTTTCAATCCGATTAGCCAATAGTCTATGTCAGTAAGCTGCGCGTGTTGCGCCGCAGCACACCACAGAACAATGACAGATATAAGGGGAATGTGCAATCTCCTCAGGTCTTTTCAGTTTATAAATTCGGTCGTCATTCAATCCACCTCAACCAACCGACACCATCAACTACCACTACCACCGCAGTACTTCCATCCTTTCCGCCCATGATCCATAGCCTCTCCATTCATCCCAACGAACCTCACAAACCACCAAGTCCCCAGAGTGCCTCGATTCCACAGCAAACCACATATACCAAGCCCCATGAGAACCCACAGCCACCCTTCAACACACCCCAATCCCCGCTCCCCAACCTCCTTCCCCATATACCACATACTATGTACCATACGGCATACAGTAGAAGTATCCCCCGAACCCCATCCCACCCCATAACCCCACCATTCCCGCCCTTCTCTTCCTCTCACACCGCACCCATTCACATCACAGCAGTTACTACCGAATCCCACAAACCTCACACTTTTCCACCCCCCTCTCCCAAGTTTCCCCGGGGTTATCGCCGTCAGAACTCACGTCCCCAATCGTTCATGAGTCAGACGAGATACAACGGGATCAAAGGGGATTAGGGCTATAAAAGAGACGAGGCAAATGTCCGCCGCAGCCTTATAGTTTCTGAGAAAAGTTCCTCATGGAAAGTGAAGCGGAACCAGAAACCCCAAATTGCGGCGTGTTTTGCTATACACATGTCCTGTTTTTTTTTCCAAGAAGGACCAGAGGTTTTGTATGGGTTTTGACAAGCCCTTGGTTCTTTTGAGGGGTTGGAAGGACATGGGTCTGCTTTTTTGTGTTGTGAAGGGCAAAGGGAGATGGGGAATGAGGAAGAAGGAGGACGATGTGGGGTGATATCAGAAAGGCTATGGGGAGGTTTGGGGTGGGTGGGATTCGTAGGTATCGTGTGGATCTGGTGGTGGGAAGTTCGTGGGATGGCATGGAGGAGGGTGAGGTGGGTAGTCGAGGAGAGAAGTCACTCGGCGCGGTGGTGGTTTGATGTGGTAGATTGGGGTGTGGTTGTTCGTGGCGGACGGCGCGGTCTGACCTTTTACCAGGTTCGCATCATTGGAGATCTTGATTTGAGGGGGATCGTGGTGGTGAGGCAAGGGGAAGCCGGGGGGGGAGAGGGTAACTGGCGTAGGGTTCATTTTGGTAGGAGGATATCGAGGATATCAGGATGAAGATGATGGTAAATAGACATGGTAAAGTGAGTGGTTAGAAAGGTTACCAGTGGGATGAGATGAGAAAAAAAAAGGACACTAGATCAGCAGGCACAAGAGATAATCGTAATGGGCGAGGACACTGTTCATTATCAGCATCATGAAAAGGTCGAGTCCATCATCTGGACTGTAAACAAAGGAGGGTATCAGACGCGATGGGAGGAAAGGAAGGGAAGGGAAGATGAAGATGAAATGACGAAGCTCGAGCTGAGCGGGCGGAAGAAAGAATTCAGGCACTGGGCCTCCGGGCGCTAAGCCTGATTCGGGGCGGGGCAGTTCAAGCTCCGCCTTCAACTTGGCCGAGTCCCGCGGATCATCTTATGTATGATTATTATTGATTGAGTGTCATCTCCCCCTCTCCTCCTCCGCCTATACCAACACCTCATTGTCAATTTGGGGGCCGCAAACATTGCTCGCCTTTGGAACATACTTTAAACTGCGCTTGTTGTCTGCTACACGCTTCCTACATTCTACCCGATATTCGAACAACTGTTGCGACCGGTGCTGCTTGAGACCAGCTAGCGGCCAATCCCCTATCACCCACACTCCCCATTTGCGACGATGGATTTCCTCAAATCTGCTGTCGCATCTGCCATCGCCAAAGGCAGCTCCTTTCCTTACTCCCTCGGAGACAGAGTTGATATTGCTGACTCCATTTGGGCTCTTCATAATGCTACGAAACGGGTATGAAGCTTCATGTACTTTCTCGTGGGGTCGCATTGACACTGAGAGCTAATGCGAAACGTGCTGCCACAAATAGGACGACGGGTCACCGTGTAGTGTGTTTACATTCGATATCGCCGCAAACAAGTCTCGGTTACCGCTCGCCAAAAATGCAGTGCGAAAGTCACGAACATTAAGACATCCCGGCGTGATCAAGGTCCTGGACACGATTGAGGTAATGCGCGGCTTTGCACATGGCACTTCCTGCTGAGGGCAACGACTCTAATTGATTGCAGACGGACGCCAATCTTTACATCGTTACCGAGCGTGTTGTACCTCTGTCCTGGCACGTGAAGCGGAGAAGCCTGAGCGAGGAGACGGCCAAATGGGGGCTGTACGCCGTCGCAGTATGTGCTTGCTGTCCTGAATATAGATGACGACTGCCACAATAATTAACACTGGTCTCAGTCCACTCTGAAGTTCATCAACGCCGATGCGTCGTCCGTCCATGGTGCCGTCAGAGCCTCGTCGGTGTTCACGAGTGAAAGTGGCGAATGGAAGCTGGGAGGGTTTGACATTTTAAGTTCAATGAATGAGGAGGACGCCGTTATATACGTAAGACACTCTGCCAAAGTGTTGGACATAGAGGAGTGCTGACCTCTTGAACAGACATATGCCAGTTTTCTACCGGACGCGGCTCGATACACACCTCCGGAAGTCGTTAAGGGGGGCTGGGATATCATCAAGCGCCACCCGCTCACAGCCATTGACTCATTCGGATTGGGAATACTAATCTATGAAGTCTTCAATGGCAGCTTCACAGGTGGTGACCAGGTGGGCAAGACGACCAACATACCACCTAGTATGCACCAGAGCTATAAACGGCTATGCACAGCCAGCCCTAAGCTGCGGCTGAGTCCCGCTCATTTTGTCGAGCAGGGAAAGAAGAGCGGCGGGTTTTTCCAGACACCGCTCATCCGCTTATGCGACGATATAGAAAGTCTGGGCCTGAAAAGCGATGTTGAGCGGGAAGAATTCGTGAAGTATGTCTCTGCTCCAAATCTAAAGAATCGAACTAATGCTAAGTGGTATAGTGAGCTCGATTCCCTGTCGGAGGACTTCCCTGAGGAGTTCTTCAAGATGAAGGTGCTTCCGGAACTTCTGAAGTCCGTCGAATTCGGCGGAGGCGGCCCGAAAGTGCTCAGTGCGGTTCTAAAGATCGGTTCTAAGCTGTCATCGGAGGAGTTCAACGCGAAGCTTACCCCAGTGATTGTTCGACTATTTGGCAACCCTGATCGGGCTCTGCGGGTCTGTCTGCTGGACCATCTACCGATGATGATTGATAATTTACCCCAAAGGGTTGTCAATGATAAGATCTTTCCTCAGATTGTAGGTCAATCGCCGCTTTGCTTGCTTGTCCCTGCTAACACTACCATACTAGACCTCCGGCTTCACGGATGCGGCACCCGTGGTCCGCGAGCAGACAGTCAAGGCAGTCTTGCCAATTATCAACAAACTCAACGACCGCACTATCAATGGTGACTTATTGAAATATCTGGCGCGGACTGCGAATGATGAACAGCCCGGAATTCGTACCAATACAACTATCTGCTTGGGCAAAATAGCAAAGAATCTTGGACAGGGTGTAAGTGCGATTCGGAGCTCTGCTGATTTCCTTTGCTGACAGTGGGTAGTCACGATCCAAAGTTCTCATCGCAGCTTTCTCAAGATCCCTTCGAGACCCGTTTGTACACGCGCGCAGTGCTGGTTTACTCGCGTTAGGCGCAACGATGGAATTCTTCTCGGAAGAGGATTGTGCGGGCAAAGTGCTGCCCGCCATTTGCCCTTCTTTACTGGATAAAGAGAAGTATGCGCTATTCTCATTAAAACATGCATAGGGCTGGGGCTAATGCAATAACATTAGGATGGTGCGAGACCAGGCAAATAAGACCCTGGACCTTTACCTTCAGCGTATCCGAAAGTTTAGCAGCACCATGGCCGACACGGTGCTTCCATCCACAACCAGTCCCGAACCCGCCAAAGACACCGCTCGCATCGGAACAAGCAACGACAAATCGTGGGCGGGATGGGCCATTTCGTCTTTCACAAATAAGCTTACGGCGGCCAATGGCGAAATTGAGCCCACCGCAAATGTTGCCAAGCCTGCCGAGCCAGAGCCTGTGCGCTCTGCGTCAGTGCCTCGTCCGACTCGGTCATCGCCACTTGTCCCTAAGGATACAGCGCGCCCCGCGGGTCATTCCCTAAACCGATCCGTGTCTGAGCAGCCACCAATGGTGGCCAAGGAGGAAGAACCTGAGGATGTGTACGACGCTTGGGGCGCGGTAGACGATGAGGACGAGGGGAGTGCGCTTAAGGAAGAGGATCCGTTCGAAGTAGCCGCAAGCAGCACCCCTTCCGTACCGGCTCCAGCGCCCAAGGCAGCCGCAGTACCATACGATGATGGCGGGGAGCCGGACTTTGCAGGCTGGCTTGCGGCACAGTCGAAGGTCAAGAAGCCGTTGCCTAAGGGCTTGAACAAAACTAGCTCTGCGACTGTTTCACGTACATCGAGTCGTGGCAGTGTGGCTCAATCGAGGACGGCTGCACCTGCTAAGAAGATCGATACCAAACCCAAAGATGAGGATGAGGATGACGGATGGGGTGATGCATGGGATTGAGATTTCAAGATTTTTTTTTCTATTGCACATAGGCATGGCGTTGGGAGCAGGACGGAGTAAACATATGGCTGTCTGGTCGCAACAAATAGTGCTGCGGATATCTCGATACCTTATTAGATCAGGATTGGAATATAATACTAGATATATCAGAGATGGTATTCCCGACAAAAACTTTATGTCCTGTACTATAACTATACGGACAGGCATAAGACATAGCCTGTAGATATACTCAACATGAAACCACTATAGTGATCGACTTAATAGGGCGGAAGTCAGTCAGCGGGGAAGCCGCCCCGTGATTCGGCACTTCTCAGTGCATTCGCCGATCCTCCGCCCGCCGCCCGATGGATGATTCCCACTCAGCCTCCTTCTTCTCCCTCCCTCCCTCCCTCCCTCCTCTCCGAACTTCCTCCCCCTCCATCCCAGGATTTCCGGCATTTATTATTATCAGCTTTTCCTTCATATACCCTCAGGCGCGTCTTTGGTTCTTCTTATCATTACATGTGAGTTGCCTGCCACTTGTCTTGATCTTCCCCAGAGCCTGTGTATAACTCGAACCACAACTGACGGCGTTCGCCGATGATGTACTAGTTAACAATCCTGCTGCCTTCCAGCGCCTCCGTTGTCCCTGCGTCCGTCTGGGCCGGTGGTATTCCATGTCATATTGAGCGCAATGGATGACGATTGATGAGCCTGAAGGTTGATCTACCACTTTTGATGACTGCTCCCCCGCTTTGTCCTCTAGCATTTAATCGCTCCACGCCGTCGCCATGGATTCCGAGGAGGTTCCTCCTCCTCCGCCATACTCCGCGGTCGATCCAATGATCGCCCAAGCCAGCAATAGAAACGCTGCCGCATCTGCAGAAGTTAATCGCACTTTGCTCCGCCTGCGGGGGGGTGATGCAGCATCGTATGACCCACCCGCCAGCCCTGCGACGAGTCTCGCTGGGAGTGAGAGTACAGCGGCCTCCGCCTCGCTGCCCGCCCATTTTACCTCTGCAGCGGCTTACTTCGCCGAGAGAGTCGCTGCAACGCAGAATCCCGAGCGGCCGATCGCAGAACATTGCGTCACTATCTATCCACGGAGTCAGTCTAAAGACTTTCCCCGTCGTCCGCGGTGCTGGAATACGCGGACGGAGGACATCACCCAGCAGGACTGGGACATGTTCCTACGGTGTCTTTTCCCCCCACATCTCGGACTTGCGTCGTCGTCTTCCGAACTACCCCGTCAACTCAGAGCCGAAATCCAGCGCGATCGCAAGGATCGACCTCAGGAGAGCGACGCGGATCGCAAGCGGCGCATTTCCGCGGTGATCATGGAATGGAATCAATACTTCTTCGAACCACGGTCAGCCCGTGTGATGTATAATTACGTGATGGATCCTCAACGGACGCCACGATCGTCTCTGTGCCCTAAATGTTATCCGGCTGCAACAAGCCGCACCGGACAGGCTGCCTCGAATGCCGGCCGAACTCGTCAGCAGGAACCGAATGCGCCACCAACAACCCCAGGTCAGGTTGCCGCCGCTCCACCAAACGCTACACCTAGTCCCGGACCCTATGGTTTCCAGCCCTACCCGCCTCCTCCAGTGCCTGGACCCTATGCTGCCCCATATGGTCCTCCTACTTTTTACAACCCTCCTGGTATCCCTCCAGTCCAACCTCCTGTGTATCCTTACGCCGCTCCGCCTCCGCCTCCACCGGGACAGTATCCACTACCAAATACGTGGGGTTGGAATGCGCCCCCATATGGTTATACCGGTCAAATTCAGGGCCAATCAAAAGGCGGCCCTCTCGGGTGGATAGCATCGCTGGCTTCCCAGGCCCAGAGATACGGTGAACGCATTACTGAACAAGCTGCGCAATATGGTGATCACATTAGCGCACAAGCCCAGCACTACGGTCGACAAGTCGAAGAACAAGCTATAGCTCATAGCCGCTGGTTGGAGGAGCAAGCTGGCCTCTCAGGACGGAAAATGGGCGACGCGTTCACTGGGTTCAGCGGTCGCCCGCAGAACGAGTGGGGTGCGAGCGAGCCCCCGAAGATCGGATACTACAACGCACCCTATACCCAACCCACCGCTGCCCCGACGGAGACTACAACGGGCATCATCACAAACCAACAACCGGTCTCAACACCGCCGGATCGCACGCGGCGGGCATCCGTGAGCTCAGAAGCTTCGGATACCTCTTTCTCATCGATAGATACGTTTTCAACCACTTCCGAACTCAGCGCGTCCGATCTGGCTACCGTCCGCGCACAGCTGTTGTCACTGGATGACTACCATGACCGAGCTCTGTATGAGCAAGCCGTGGGCCTCCGCCGCCAACTCGATCTTTTGCAAGAATCACGACGGCAAAACCGCGTTTCGGGCCGAAGCCACTGGCGCCACGGCTGGGGCCGGTGGGAATCGCCACAACAGCAGCAGCGGAAACAGGCCGAGAAGCGCGCCGTGAAGGAGGAAACGCGGGCGACGCGCAAGGCCTTCCGGGATGTCGTACGGCGGGCCCGTGAGGAACAGCGGGAGAATCGACGGTTGAAGCGCAACCGTCGCCGCCAGGAGCAACGAGCGCGACAGACGTCCGAGACTGCTTCGGATGCGGCGTTGGAGCAGCGCCTTCAGACTCTCGAGTTGGAGAATAGCCTCGAGGCCCCGTCGACGGTCCAGTCGACTGCATCGCTTTCGTCTCCGGTACAGTCTGCGGCCGAGACGGAAGCCAGTGAGATCAGCCCAGTTCGTGCACCGAGTACGGAGTCATCGCGCGATATAGAGAAGAAAGACGACAAGGTGATACCGAAAGAGAAGTCTGAGAGTAGTGATAAGAAGTCCGCTTCGTCGGACAAGGGGACTGGGAAGTCAGCCGATGCAAAGAATGCAGGTGAAGGGAAACGAGGTCCGTTGGGACGCAGATAGGGTGAGCATAAAACGAGGGCCTCAGCATAACGTAGTCAGGTTAGCGTCGTGTCGAATTAGCAAGCGGGATGGGATATGCATAGCAAGGTGTCGTCGGTCTGTCTTGTCTACTTGTGTATTGGGTTGAAAGTCGGAGGCATTCTTATGTGGAGTTGTGTTGTACTGTACATACAAGCATTTTGGCCGCAACGGTAACCGTTTTGGAGTTGTAACCTTCCAACCTTTGACTCTCTAAACGCTTTTTTTTGGGTAGATTCCAAGGAGATGGCAGCACTAGTTACTCGCCTGCGCCGCCTCATTCTTCTCGACCAGATCGCCGACCCCCAGGCCGCGGCCGACCTTGACACGCACCATCTTCTCCTGATCCTTCTTGTCGCCGTCGTCGGCCTTGCCCAGCTCGCCGACGGGCTCGCCCTCATCGCCGTCCTTCTCCTCCTTGGCGGCGCGCTCGCGGTCCTCGCGCTCGATCTTGGCCCAGTCGACCCACATATCCGACAGATCCATGCGCATGGCGTAGGCGTCCTCGCCATCGGCGTAGTACTTGCTCTCGACGGACTCGACCTGGAAGCCCAGGGTGTCGCGGTAGAGGCGCAGGGCGGCGGTGTTGGAGACGCGCACGTGCAGCGAGACGTATTGCGCGCGGTGGGACTCGGCCATTGCTCTTTCTGCCCACATACAAACAATATCCAGTCAGCATTAAGCCATTTTCATTCCCCGTCCTTCAACTCATTTCTCTTCTTTCGTCCGAAACCCACACCGCTAGGATGATGAATGGGGGAGAGGGGAAGGGCTGGGAAACGTACGACTCATCCGCATCAACCGCTCCGCAATCCCCAGCCGGCGGTGCGTGCGCATCACGCTCAGCGAGGTGATGTGGCCGTGCGCGACCCCGTCCGTGGGCTCCTCCTCCATCTTGGCCAGCACGTAGCCGACGACCTTGGGGTAGCTGTCGCTGCCGCCATGCTTGCTGTAGCCGTTCTTGGGCCGCACCACCGCCACGAAGGACAGTTGCGGCCAGGTCAGCGCGTGGTACAGGTAGTACTTTAGGAAGTAGTTCTCGGGGAGGTTGGTGATGTTGCAGGTTTGGATGGAGGGGAGGAGGTCGATGTACGAGGGGTAGCTGCTTAGGGGGAGGATGTCGACCATTTTGTTCGGCGGGCGGGGGGGGGGGGGGGGGGGGGGGGGGGGGGGGGGGGGGGGGGGGGGGGGGGGGGGGGGGGGGGGAGGGTGTGGGGCGGGGGGGGGGGGGGGGGGGGGGGGGGGGGGGGAGATAGAAAAGAGAAGGTGGAGAGAGAGGGTGTGAGGGGTGGCCCTGGTGGTTGGAGGGGTCAATTGATGTGAGGATGGGTGTGGGTGGGCGGAGATAATTTGACAGGTTAGATAACTGGTGATTGATGGTGCTTGGTTTATTGTTAAGGCGGAGAGAGAGAGAGAGGGGAGATGCTCGGGTCAGGTGCGTGCTAGTCCTGTTTTGGTATAGTGTTTTTATCTCCCGGCTCCTTACCGTTCCTACTATGTATGTACTCAGGTATGGTACTCCATATACCTACGGAGTGATTGTTGGTGATGTGACGGCGGAAAGTCCATGGCTTGTGTGGCGATCTATGTCAATTTGCGATGCCAGAGTATTTGTTAAAGCCAAGGGACAACCTCATGACACCGTAAACACTCTCCTGCCGATCGTAAGAGTGAACATTGTCAAGCTCAAGACCCGATTGACAGTCGTGATCGGCCGATCTCTCGCATACTCCGTGATACTACTCACACTCGTAGAAAGACGGAAGGGAGTCGTGGTACACGGTTGATCAACCGAAGAGGGACGCTGCCGTAGATCGACCGAATCCAATGCTCGCCGGAGGCTGTGCGCGCTGCGGAATTCACCGTCCCAGCAGCCCTCAACGATCCAGTCGAGCCAAAGGCCCTCCGTGCTCGGCAGAGACTTCCTCTCCGGCCAATACGCTCTGCCGTCGGTGGAGGTGTTGTGCTTGAGAAGGTCGATCTCACACTTCGTGCCGGTCATGACTTCGTACAGGACCGTCCCCAGGAGGCCGACATCGATTTGGGTGGTGTATCCATTGTCATCGGCGGTCTCCATATCGGACTCCAGTGGCAGGAGCGACGCCTCGGAGAAATCGCAGATTTTAACCGCCAGATCGGTGTCCAGGAGAAAATTGCGAGTGGCGATGTCCGCAACAAGCACCCGTTTTTCGTGGATGTAGCAAAGGGTGCGTGCCATGGCCCGAAACCAGGTGAGCTGAAGCTCCTGCGACGGCGGCGGCCGGCGCGTTTCGAGACAAGCCCGAAGGTTGCCATTAGCCATGTAAGCCAGTTGGGTGGACTCCGCTGAACACCCAAGACACCCGACGATGCCGCTAGAGCGGTCATCCGGATCGCTTTGCAAGCGACGATAGATACTTTGCTCGCGTCGGAGGCTGGAAAGGTTCACTTTCACGTCGGAGTCGGAGCTCCACAGATACCGTAACGGGATTTTGACGGCAGCGCCTTCTTGAAGCAGAACAACGGCCGAGCTTCCGCTTCCAAGGACCTGCTCTTGCGGGATTTGATCGCCTCGAGGATCAAGAAATGGGGAGGACATCGCGACACGAAAGCGGGGAAGGACAGTGGGAACGAAGTACTCTATGCGGGGGAGAAATATGACATAAGTTGGTCGAATGCCAGTCTACGAAAGGCATGAGGAAAATAGCAGTATGTGGTTAACTTTAGAGAAGAACTAACGACTAATTCAAGTATAGACCATGCACCTCGATGCCAAGTGGCAGCGAAAGCGCTTTCCTCGATTAGACACTCTATATCAAATGCAATAATTGGCCATCACCGCAGCATAGGAAGTATTCCGTAGTTACCTGACCATACATCCTCAAGTCGGCCTCCTCTACTTGTATGCAGGCAGATGTGGGCGCATTTACTATTGAACTATAAATATGCAAAAAGAAGCAAAAATTATTGATTCGGTTGCACTATATATCTCCACTAGTCATCATACAACGCTCATTTCTCGTGATCCATCAGAAAAAACAAAAACTTATATAAGGTATATATACTCAAAAGCTAAAACATCCATCCCACCAATGACACCCCCACCACCACGAACAACGTCCCTAGCATGCTGGGCCCCGGCAGCACTATCGGGGCCGCTGAGGCCGTTCCACAGCATGTGCCGCTGTATGTGACGTTATTCATCTCGGCAGCCACCGCGAACACGGACCCGTTGAAGTTGCCGTAGTTGTAGTAGTCGACTAGCAGGAAATTCGGTGGCCGGCCCCATGTATCTGTTATCATGCACACATCAGTATACGCTCTTCGCGGGCTGGATTCCCCCCCCCAAAAAAAACTCACCGGTGCAGTTCTCGGCCATCCGGCCCAAACTCGCGTAGCCCGACACCGCATTGGTCTGGTTCAGCATGGCCGTGTTGGGGATCAGCAGACTGATACTGCCGATGCTCACATCCAGGTTCAGGTTGTGGTTGGCCATGTACATCCGGTTCTTGGCGTCCTGAACCGACAGGTCCGGCGGGCGCTGCTCCGTGCAGGGGAACGCGGCGTCGGTGGGCGAGAACGGGGTCTCCCACATCTGCGAGAACTCATCCATGAGCCACGGGTAGGCGGTCTGGTTGGCCTGGTAGTCCATGAAGACGACCGCGCGTTTCCCGGACAGGATCATGTTCGACAGCGTCGGCCAATCGTCCAACGCCATGGGGATCTTCGGCGGCGTCCACACATAGTCCATCAGCCCCGAGTTCTGCACGGGGGCCGTGAAGTTGCCCGGGTCCACGTAGTCGTAGTTGCCGATCAGGATCGTAACCACGTCGTATGGGTGCGTCTTGATCCAGGTGGTCACGGTGGTCAGGTAGTCCTCCAGCGTGCCAACGTTGAGCATCTCGCAACTCGTGTGGCAGAGATAAAGGGTCCCGTTGATCAAGTGTGTCTGGAATTGCACTGTTGCGGAGGGTAACGCCTGTTAATCCATGTTGCGCAACTCTCCGGGTCATTGACTTACGCATGCGGATGCCATCATTCAGCTGATCCGTCACCTTGTAGGCCTGGTTGGCCGCCGCGTTGCCCGGTTTGACAAACGGGCTGTTGTGCGCGGCGACCATGGTAATGTTGGAGTACTTGCGCGAGCAGAAGTCGGAGTAGCCATTGCAGGGCTGCGTGTTGACGACCGGGGTCGATGTTGCGGAGGTGGTGGAGGTGCTTGTCGCGTTGGCTGTGCCATTCATGGTATGGTGGCCACCACCCACCAGCAGCGTCACAGAGTTCGAGCTAGTGCTCGAGCGCGAACTTGTCGTCGTGGCCGTTGCATTGCCCGAGGAGCTGGCATCGGTGATGGTGCTAACCCCAACCCTGGTGCTAGTTCCGGTCGTGTGGTCGTTGGAGAGCGTGATCGTCGAGGTGTATGAGAGATAGTCACCTGTCGGGAGAGTCGCTTCGCTAATGGAGGTGGTGATCGATCCAGTCAGGACGAGGGCCCCATCCCCTGCTGAAGTGATCGTTGTGGCCTCATCTTTGGCATAGGAGGGTAGGATGCCGGCCAGCAGAAGGGGGAGCAGATGAGCGATCAACCGCATGATGCCGGAGTGGGCGGAAGAGCGGAAGTCGGAGGCGAGGGACGCAGCGCTGCTACTGAACGAATTGCCGTCTCAATGAATAAGTTAGCTGGTATCTAACTTTATATGATTATATATGAAGGGGTGTGTATAAAAAATGAAAGTGTAAAGAATGAAAGAAGAATGTCGAGTTGCACGAGAGATCAGGCGAGAGGGTAATGTGCCTGATGGGAAGAAAAGAATAATAACAATAATATCCCCCAATGATGAAAAAGGGTTAAAGGTAAAAGGGAGGGGAGAAAAGTGTAAGTATGTATTTTCAGGGAAATGTTGATACAGTCAGTAACCACCAGTAAGTTAACCGTGACCCTAAAGACAACCCCTGCAATGGTACTCATTACTTGATTAGGCTGCAACCTTGCCCCCATTTCAACCAATGACGACATTTGCTTGCTTAACCTAAAACTTCAATGCGCCACGCTGAACCTTTTTTTTTTACTTTGGGCCCTTTTTCTCTGGTACTATGTAAGTATGAGCATCTCAAATACTGAACTCTGGTCTAGACCCTATCAACACGGGGCTTTCTTTTAAACTACACAGTTGAGCTTGGTCTTTTATAGCTAGTCAAGAATGAGGTTTATTGTCCGTGATGGGGATCCCATGCCAACCCCATATCAACTCCTGAGTGTGTGGGCTGCATATCAAGATCTGCAAATCTAAGCGAAGCTCAAACAGCTTGGCGAAAATGCCGACGTGGTTGACACTCAGCCAATAGGATAGGGTAGTTAACCATGTGGTGGGGTTAGATTTTAGAGTTGAATGGCATGCACTGTTCAAGTGAGGACACATTGTATCGTATTCGGAAAAAAGAAGGCGATGCCAACAGCGATGTGCGATGCAGAGCTAAAATTAAACTGATAATCAACTAATTGTATCGCACGGGTTCCATTTAGATTACAGGATGGAACACAACATCTTGATTGGGCTTGCTGGGCATTGGTTCGCTATCTCTATTTATCGAGACCAAAGTCGCCAATGGTTTACCATCTCTGTTGTTCTGTTCTCTGAGATAAATACTTTTACTCTGGAGCAATTACTCAAGTACCATAATTACTCCGTACTTCGTCAGCACTGAATAGACAAGATTCATGCAAGACGATCGGAGGATCGGCTCTGGTAAGCGCCCCGCATAGCTTTCTTGGCGGCAGCCAAGTGGGGCCACGCTACTGCCGCAAGTGACGTCGCAGGCGTCTAATCCACCCAATCGAGCTCCCGAAACTGTTCTAGGCAGATCAATTCATCACTTATTCATCCCTGATAGGCAGGCCATCGCCAGTCTTCCTCCAGGCCCTATCGAGATTGTTCATTGCAGTCAATTGATTCTATTCTACTGAGAAAAAAAATCATCGTCCACGATCATCATCTAGTTTCAATTGGGCCATCAAGCCCTCACCCCCCCCCGCCTTCGAGTGGCGCGCCCATGCTCATCGCAACCATTTACCACCTCTGAACCTCACCTCCTCTTATCCAAATCTCACCAGCCACTTTTGCTGAACCGTCCTTGAGGGTCTAGATCTT